TAATCAAAATGTTATGTATAAAAATGTATAAGATATAGCTAAATCTGATCTCAGAGCAAAACTCATAGTTTAAGATATAATTTACAAGATATAGTTGAAAAATTCCTAAACAACTAAATGTACCCAAAACAAAATCAATAGACACATGATAAACTGTGGGAAATATTTTCAATACATGAAAGACAGGGTGTAGTATTGTGATTTATATTTCTCTTACATATTTATATTTGGTCTTTATCCACAGTTCCTGGCTCACAGCTACCAAAACCTTTGGAATTTCCTGAGTGATGGGAGTGATAAAGGTGTCTCTTGTTATGTTAAGGAAGTGATTTTGGAAGTCTTAGGGCTGGGGGCTGGTTGCCAGGGGGAACCGACCAAGAGATTAGAGGCTTGGAACTTTCCCACCCCATGGTCTCCGGAGATGGGAGAGGGTTTGGAGAGATTGAGTTCAATCACCAAAGGCCAATAATTTAATCAGCCATGTCCTGTAATGAAGCCTCTGTAAAATCCCCCCAAAAAGGATGGGGTTTTGAGAACTTCTGATTTGGTAAACACGAGGAAATTTGGGGAGAGTGGCGCACTCAGAGAGAGCATGGAACCTCTGTGCTCTTTTCCCTAACCTTGCCCTATCTCTTTCATCTGGCTGTACCTGTGTTATATCATTTTATAATAAAGAGGCAATCTAGTAAGTGAATGTTTCTCTGAGCTCTGTGAGCCACTTTAGCAAATTAATCAAACCCAAGTTTAGGGTTGTGGGAATTCCCAATTTATAGCCAGTGGATCAGAAACATAGTTGATAACCTTATCTGGCAATTGGTGTCTGAAGTTGGCAGGGGACAGTCTTTGTCTGAGTCCTCAACCTGCAGAATCTGATTTTGTTTCTTGGTAGATAGTGTCAGAATTGAATTGAATTGTTGGACAACTAGCTAGTGTCTGTGAATTGCTTGTTTGATGTGTGAGGAAACCCTCCCTCCCCACAGTGGAATTTGGTTCAGAACCCAAAAGAAAGGGCTAACTTCTTTAATTTGTAAATCAGTAAGAAAATACAAAAATGGATAGAAAATGAACAGAAGGTATGAACAGAAAGTTCACAAAAAAGAAAGACAAATAGCCAATTAATATGTGGAAAATATGCTTAATTTCTTTCATACGTGAAGAAATTCTAACTAAATAAAATATTTTTACTTTTCAGATTGATAAAAATTTGTGTTCTAATATCCAGTGGAAACAAGAGTATGAGGAAATGTGATAATATACAGTAGATGGAAGTACAAAATTAAACAAGAGTTTTAGAGGAAGTTTGGCAATATTTATCAAAGTTTTCGATTTATACATATTTTGATCCAAGAATTCCATTGCTAGGAAGTTACTTTTTAAATTTAAAAGGTAGCTAACTATATATTTTTATGGAAGGATAAAACAAAAAATATATATAAATAGCTGTTTTTTTAAAAAAAGGGAAGATAAAATGGTTTCCTATGGGAAGAGGGGTGGAGGGATGAAAGGGGTGGAGACAGGGAGAGAAGCTACGTCTGAATATACCATACTATTATTGTATTTGAAACCATGTAAATATAATAATCATTATGTTATATAATTATATTCTATTTTGAAAGTCTTGGGGCCAGCCGAGTGGCTCAATTGGTTAAGAGTGCGAGCTCTGAGCAATAAATAGGGTCACCAATTCAATTCCCACGTGGGCCAGTGAGCTGTGCCCAAAATAAGCTGCGGCTGAGCTGGCAAGAGCATGTGCTCTTAGCAGCAAGGTTGCAGATTCAACGCCCATATGGGATGGTGAGCTGCCCACCTCACCCCCAACCCCCACACCCACCCACTACCCCGGCAAGTAAGATTGAACATGGTGCCTTCAGCTGAGCAGCCCCTAGCTGCCATTGGGCGGCTAGATGGCCCAGTCTGCAAAAAGGTTACCAGTTCCACTCTCGCATGGGATGGTGGGCTGCTCTCCACCACCCCCACACACACCCGCAACTAGATTGAAAGCTGCGACTGGACTTAGAGCTGAGCTTGCACCCTCCACGACTAAGATTGAAGCACAACAACTTGACTTGGAGCTGATGGACCCTGGAAAAACACAATGTTCCCCTTCCCCAATTCCCCAATTAAAAAAAAAAAGTCTTGTTATACCCCAAAGCAAGGAAGTTATGGAAAATTACTGGGGTCACATCAACCAAGCTTGAAAGGCTCTCACTGGCTGAAGATGGAGTGATTTGAGCATCAAAAATAATAACTGCAATGGATTGAAATACATGAACTATCCATGAGATCCTAATGATGCTAAAATATATCATTTGCCACACTACAGGATGTTAGCAAACCAGAACATTATTCTGAAAAATGGAATAGCGAGAGAGAGAGAGAGAGAGAGAGAGAGAGAGAGAGAGAGAGAGAGAGAGAGAGAGAAACGAAATAGATAATTGATACTAAATAATTATTGTTGGATTTTTGAGATATGATAATGATGTATGGCTAGCTTGTTCAAAAGAGTTATAGTTTAGAGCAACATCTTGAAATATTTATGGGTAAAATGATATGCTATCTGGGATGGCTTCAGAATAATCCAGTATGGGGAAATAGGTAGAGACTATAGAGGAAACAAAATTGGTTGTGAATTGGTAACTGTTGAAATGGGATAATGAATACATGGATATTTATTATATTATTCTCTCAACTTTTCTATATGTTTGAAATTTTTCAAAGTAGAAATATATATAATTTGATTGAGGCAAAACGATATTGAGAGCCTGACTTTGGCCCACTCTGCCAGCCATGATGTTTTAAACTGTTTGTTTTCTTTTGTTTTAAAAAACAAAAAGAGGTAAGTCATGAAGTCTTTTCTACCTAGGGGAGAAGCAGAACTGCTACAGAGAGAAGGGGACTTACAAGCAATATCTTTTTTAAAAAATGAGTAAGTTTTTGCCTATAATTCCAGGCCAAAGATGAAGTGTGGGCAAATGCATGGTGACCTAGAATTCTATGTAATTTCTGGGAAAACTAAAAAGAGCTTCTGGAGCCAGATAGCCTGGGTTCAAATCTTGGTTCTGCCACTTATTCCTTGTGTGACTCTGAGCAAGTCACTCAACTTTTTTTTTTTAAAGATTTTATTGGGGAATTAGGGAAGGAGGACAGCCAAGTTGTTGTCTTTCAATGTTGGTTGTGGAGGGCGCAGCTAGCTCAGCTTCAGGTCCAGTCACATCCTGCCGCCCATCGGCAGCTCAAGGCCACTCAGCTCAAGGTGCCATGTTCAATCTTAGTTGCGGGTGGGCAGAGCCCACCATCCCATGCAGGAGCTGAACCAGCAACCTTGTTGATAGGAGCAAGTGCTCTCACCAGCTGAGCCATCCTACCACCTGTTGGCAGCTCAGCGGCAGCTGAGCTCGGGAGCAGCTCACTGGCCCATGTGGGAATCCAACTGGCGACCCTGTTGCTCAGAGCTCGCGCTCTTAACCAACTGAGCCTCTCGGCCGGCCCTACTCAACCTTTCTGTGCCTCAGTTACTTCATCTGTAAATGGGGAGTATAGTACCTACCTCATGGATTATTGTGAGGATTATTGGACTAATATGTGGAAAGTATTTAAAACATTAGTGCCTGGCACATAGTAAGCACTTGATAAGTGTTGGCTACTTATGATTGTAGTTGTTGTCGGAGTGTATAGTACAAGGCAGACTTAATGAGGGGTGAGACTGGAGAAATAGGTAGCCTTACAGTTTACAGGAAGTAGTGTGTCTTCTATTTGTCAGGGAGTCACTGGAGGGTTTTAAGTAATGCTAACAGCTAACACTTCATTTCTCACAAGTGGTTAAAACAGGAATTTCCTACATGTGCAATTAACTATGAAATGGTTCAGGGCAAGTTTGAGAACCTCTGACTGTTTTGAACTTATTTCCTTAACAGTACGTGGGTGCCATGGGTTTGGGAAATGACTCATAAGTGGTGACATGACTCAGGGTTGTATGAAACTAGGATATCTAAAACTTCAAGTCACATTTCACACAAGCTCTCTGTATACACGTTATATAAGTGGAGTATGTTCTAAGAGTGTGTTTAAGGCTAGCCCTCAATTAAGGGCACTGTACTTGCAAAAAGCATAATTGAAGTAATCAAATTTTATTTTTACTTTTTATTATAGCAAATTAGAAATGCACAAAAGTCTAGAAAACAGCAAAATGAACATTCCATACCCATCACCCAGCTTGAAACTTTATGGACCTGGTGGCTAATCTTATTTCATCTATAAACCATCCCACCCACTATGGGCCCCTTAGGTATTTTGAAGCAAATCCCAGACATCATATTATTTCATCTAAAAAATCTCAGTATGTGTTTATGAAAGATAAGGACTCTTTTAAAAAATCTATCCCTAATCACATTTTCTCAGGTAGAAAAAAATATTTCCTAAATATTGTCAAATATCATTCAGCCTTCACATTACCCTGATATATATATATTCAAGATAGCTTTATAAGGATGCTCTGTGCCTCCATAATTAGGCACATACTGTTGGTTCTCTCTCTCTTTGTGATGCCATCAGTCATTGATGAGCAGTGCCTGGATCCATTTATTCACAAGGGCTGACAAAATAGAATGTGCAGATCTCTAATTCCTTCTTCATTTATTAGCCCTGATATATCTATAAAGGATAACTTCCCTTAGCCAACTCTTTGGCTAGTGTAAGAAAAACAGGTTAAGTGCTTGATTCTTTCCCTGTATTTACCAGTTTTCAATATAAAGAGTTGTTTCCCAAGCATCTTCCCAAGGTGACTAAAGAGCCATCTTTATTTGTGTCATTGTGAACTTGTGGATATTAAGCATGTTTATATTCAATGGGTTTTGAGCCATTGAAATTATAATCCTTGTTGATGCTCAAATTGTCCCATCTATAATCAGTGGGATCATCTTCAGCTTGTCTTCAGGAGCGTTTTCTCAGGACTCCTGGACTTTCCACTCTAACAATGAATTTCTTTCTTTCTGGTATTGCAGGGTCATCCTGTTCGCCCACATGACTTGATGCTTTGTCAGAGGTTCCTCTTGGGGACAGTGTTGCTCCAGAAATGCCAAGACACCCGCACTCCCTCAGGCCACCCCCATCTACATGGCCTTCCACCCTTCAGGTTTGAAAACAATGCCACCTAACCTGAAGCTTCTGGAAAGCAGGCTGTCTGCTGCCTGGTTTGCGGGAAACCTGCTCACTGCTGCTGCAGTTGCCTTTCTTCTTTGAATCAGAAATCAATCTGAGGTCTAAACTGCAAACTCAGATATCATTTCTAGAGTTCCATTTTTACTTTACCTAGGCTTTGTGAGTCCGCACTAATTAACTCCACGTTAGGTCCCACAAAGTTCCCGTGTTGTCAGGAAATAATGGAAGCTAAAGGCCTGGAAGAGGGCATCATCTCAGAAATAGTATTACCGCTAACCTTTAGAAAAGTCATCCACGCTTTTTGCAAGTTTTAAATAAAAGAAGGAACTACGTTGTAGAAATAAACGACAACATAAACCCAACATCCTAGCAATTTCTCATTTCTGTACTTTACATTTATGTATTTCTAAATGTTCATATTTATATTAACATGAATGTATTTTTATAAAATTGGGTTCCCTTGTATTTATCATTTTGGATCATACTTTTTCACTTCTGTATGTACTGTTATATGCAGTTTTCCAGTATCAATAATTTGTGAATATATATTTTACAATTTTAAAATAAAAATATAATACTTGATTATAATGAAAAAATTCAGAAATACAGTAACAAAATAAATATTTCAAATATTGGGGCAGCCGGTTGGCTCAGTTGGTTAGAGCGCAGTGCTCATAACACCAGGGTTGCTGGTTCGATCCCCACATGGGCCACTGAGTTGCGCCCTCCACAACTAGATTGAAACAACTACTTCACTTGGAGCTCATGAGTCTTCTTAATAAAATTTATTAAAAAAAAACTTAACCCAACTTTCTAAAAATATATCCAATATTATCAACTTGATTTGCATAATTTCAGACTGTATCTATTTACAATCATTAGATTATATCTAATATATGAGCATGGATACAGAATGCCGAGCATTCATGAGTACAATCCATATAATACTCACCACTCATCTTGTAAGATAATTTTTTTTAAAGATTTTTATTGGGGAATTGGGGGATGGGAACAGCGCTGGGGAATTGGGGGAAGGGGAACAGACAAGTTGCTGTCCTTTTGTTCTTCAGTCTAGTTGTGGAGGACGTTGCTTCACTGGCCCAAGTTGGCACCATCATTGCGCTCTTCCCAGGCGAGGCAGATCGGTGGCCGGCTTCTGGATGGCCGCTCACTGCGGCTGCTGGCCACTCACGCTGGCTGCTGGCTACACACGGTAGCCCATGGCAACCCACTGCCACAGGGGCTGCAGCCTACGCCATCGCCGGCAACTCACAGCAGCCCAGCTCCAGGTTGCGCTGTTGTTCAGCATCTTAGCTGTGGAGGGCAGTGTCACTGGCCCTCATATGTGGGATCTGAACCGGGGCCCTCTGGCATCCCAAGCCAGCTCTTAACCAACGCGCCACTCGGCCGGCCCATGTTTATATTTTTGGTAATTTAATTTCTAGCTTATCAAAAGTGTAAAATATGTAATTATTGTTATATATTTTTTAAATTGGGTAACTGCTTTTTCCAGGACTCATCAGCTCCAAGTCAAGTCATCCTTCAATCTAGTTGCGGAGGACACAGCTCACTGGCCCATGTGGAAAGCAAACCAGATGCCTTGTTGCTCAGAGCACGTGCTCTAACCAACTGAGCCACCCAGCTGGCCCTATTGTTATCTTTTTTGATAGTTAATGTTTATTTGTGTATACCACTTTTCTATACCAATTTCTTTGCTCACTTTTGCCCCTTGCATCCCATTACTTTTGTTATTTTTCTGTCAGCTGGATACATCCTTTAGTATATTTTTCACCTAGGGTCTCTGGGTATTGATCATTGAATTCTTATTTATCTGTATTTTTTTTTGTCCTCACTTTTGAAGGTTAACTGGGCACTGATATAGATCTAGATTTAAAGGTATTTTTAAAGATATGACTCCAGTCATACAACAAGTATTTGTTGTCTACTATGTGCTAGGCACTGTTCTGGGGACTGCATATATCAGAGGAAAATCAATAAACAAACAGCTCTTATCTTCACCCAATCGAATGAAAAGTGAAATATCACCTTGACCCTTATTCTTACAAATGTAATCTATTTTTTTTCTCTTACATTTTCAGGGTTTTCTTTTGATCCTTACACTTCTGAAGTTTCACTGCTATCTGTGAAGCTTGGAGAAAGCATTATGCTAAGTGAACTAGAAATGTCAGGACTATGGGACCAGATAGTGCAAGAAGGGTCAAGATGTGGGCATGCTGGAGTGGATATACAATGTGAAGCTGTAAAGACCCCAGAAAAACCCAGTGGATTATTTGTCCTCTATTTACCAAGGCGATAAGGAATGCCATGGTGAGACGGGGCCGGGGGAAGGATGGGTGGAAGCATTCCTCGTCCGCTAATGCCAATGGGAGCCAGTCAAGGAATGTGGGGAAGTGGTGGGGTGGGGGTTAGGCAAGGGGGTGGACAAGAAGGGCCTTAGGGTCTGCCTGGGGCACTCTACCCGTCCTTCAGGTTGCCCAATATGAAGGTCCATGAGAATCAAGATCAGCAAAAATATCTACGCTTTTTCTTTCTCAGAAATAAAATTGCTTTTCTCACAAAATATACAACACAAAAATAAAAGGTAAATAACTGGAACAATACACAGAAATAAAAGCCATAAGTTTTAATATCTTTTCATACATAAAGAATTTGTGAGAGTATGGTTTTTACAAATGACACATTTTTTAAATGGGCAAAGGATAACAAATTATTATTATTATTATTTTAAAGATTTTATTGGGAAATTGGGGGAGGGAAACAGCATTGGGGAATCAGGGAAGGGGAACAGACAAGTTGCTGTCCTTTTGTTCTTCAGTCTAGTTGCAGAGGACGTCGCTTCACTGGCCCATGTTGGTAATATCATTGCGCTCTTCCCGGGTGAGGCAGTCACTTGCTGGCCACTGGTAGGCTGCTTATGGCGACTCACGGCAGCTCACACTGGCTGCTAGCCACTCACAGTAGCTTACGGAAGCCCACTGCAGCAGGGGCTGCAACCTATGCCATCTCCGGTGACTCACAGCAACACGGCTCCAGGTCGAGTCGTTGTTCACCATCTTAGCTGTAGGGGGCAGCATCACTGGCCCTCATATGTGGGATCCGAACCGGGGCCCTGCTGCTCAGAGCTGGCATCTCAAGCCAGCTCTTAACCAATGAGCCGTTCGGCCAGCCCCACAATTCTTTAAATGATTTATATAATACCAAAATAAAAATGGAAAAAGATATGGTTAAGTAACCTCTTGCTATCGTTCAAACATCATCAAAAATATTTTTGTATAGAGCTTCTTATTTGAAGTGAAGGAAAAGTTAGTTTCATTAGTTTCAGGAACAAAGCCAGGATGTTTGCTCTTGCCATTTCTATTCATCTATTCAACACTGTAGTGGAGGTGCTAGCCAGGGTAATCAGCAAAACAAAAAAAACAAAAAAAGAAGCAGGGGGTGGGGGATTCAAGGCATGCATACTGGAAAGAAAGAGGTAAAACTGGCTTTATTCATAAACAACATGATCTTATATGTAGAAAATGGCATTCTAAGGATTGTGTTGAAAAATAACTACTACAACTAATAAGTGAGTTTAGCAAGGTTTCAGTATCAACATACAAAATCAATTGCAGTTCTGTATACTAGCAATGAACAATCCAAAAGTAAAGTTAAGGAAACAATTACATTAACAATTGTATCCAAAAGAATAAAATCCTTAGGAATAAATTTAACAAGAGAAATTCAAGATTTGTGTACTAAAAACTTAAAACATTGCTGAGGAACTTAAAAAGATCTAAATAAATGGAGAAAAAATTCAAATTCATGGGAAAGACTCAATATTGTTAAGATGGCAATTCTCCTAAACTGGACCTATAGATCCAGTGAAATCCTTCAGAAAATCCCAGAAGGCTTTGTTGTAGAAGTTGACAAGCTAAACCTAAAATCATATGGAAGTGCAAAGGACCTAGAATACCAAAACAATTCTGAAAAAGAACAAAGCGGGAGGACTACACAAGTTCAAAATTTAATATAAACCTACAGTAATCAAGACAGAGTGGTATTGTCATAAAGATAGGCATATACATTGAGGGAATAGAATTGAAAGTCTAGAAATAACCCCTACATTTATGGTCAATTGATTTCGACAAAGGTAGAAGATAATTCAATGGGGGAAAAGACAGGTCTTTTCACCCAACGGTGCAGGGACTGTTGGATATCCCTATGCAAAAAGTAAACTTAGACTGTTACCTTGAGGAAATGACTCAAGGCAGTTTTGGGGGAATGAAGGAAAGAAGAAATGGGAGCCAGGTACCCAACACACTGGGGTGTCCTGGGAGCAGCAAAAGCTGAGAGGACGTCTAAGAAAGTAAGTGTCCTGTGTTTAATGTTACATTTTCTGCTGTGTGGCCCATGGTTATCATCCTTCTCCTGTGGCCCCACAAACACATAGAAACAGAAAAGCACAAGAATTTTGGAGCCGTGATATTTGCTGCCAAGAAGTAATAATATATATAATATGAGTACTATAGTAATAATAATATATAATATGAGAAACTGATGATGATGATGACAAAATAATAATAATAATAACAATAATAATGGTGTAGGAAAATTTGAACTCTTGGCTAAGTGGGCGTTGTTTAATTAATTACATGGGATTTAATCGCAACTGCCTGCGTCAAAATTTTGTTCTTTGGCGGCCTCATTCTTTATATGCTACTCTTTCTTAACCCTGTCTCCAAAATGTACGTGTCTCTGGTCAGAGCATGTTCAAAGGAAATAGCTTTGTATGCCTGTATTGGGTCACCCTGATTCTGCTCTTTCTCTTATACCACTGTGTCCTTCTTCAGTGATAAATTTCTGGAGAGGAGAGGCCAGGCCTGTTTCACTACCCTTACACATTGCCTGGCAAACTGCTACATGCAACAAAGTTATTTAATATACATATTAAAAATTGTGTATATACACACACACACACACACACATATATATATATATATATATATATATATTTAAACCAATTTCTAATCCCTTTGGAATCACTGGAGAACTGCAGCCAAGCAAAGGTGGTAGAATTCAGTGACTGACTAAGGCCTAAAAGGTATGAATTTCTACTGTGAAGATTTCAAACACGTGTCAACTGCTTAGTAAAGGAATTCATTAAAAGGAAGAATCTTCAGCAAGATCCCAATGTGTCCCCCTTTGACTGCAATCAAACATTGACTTTGTTTATTCACCCAGAAGGTGGCAGTAGGGGTCTCTTCTTATCCCACCGTTGCCAAGGGGGAAGAAGAGGAACAGCCGGGGAGCAGGGGGGCAGGGGGTAGGGCGAGGCAGGGGAACAGCAGGGGGCAGGGGGAGCTGGGAGGAAGGGGAAACAGGGGGGTTCCTCCCCACCGGTGGCCCAATTAGAAAGCCAGTGATTTAACACAAGGCAGAGAAGACTCACAGGGTCAGGCCTGGGGTTCTCTTTGTTCCACCTCTTTTCCCATGCAGAGAACTGAAAGAGAAAAAAAACGCTGAATGACAAGAATTAATGGTGTCACACAAATACCATCAAAGACAATTTAAGAATTGCTTTTCTCTGTCCGAAATGAATGAAGAAGACAGAAGAGTGGTGGTTCCTTTTTTTTACCATTAACTACTCTAAAATTGGAAAGAATGGTGGATAGTGTTTTTTACTGCATAGTCACTCAGCTCACAAATTTACAATTCAGAGATTTTTTTGAGGGAAGAGTTTGCTACAAATTACATAGTTTTGATTAATCATAACCATAACCTTATTTATAATTATAACCTTGTTTGTAATCTCCAAATGCCAATATGCCTACAATGACTACAGAATTGTTGGTTTGAATCCTTTCAAAATTAAACTTTTTTAGAGCAGTTTTAGGTACACAGCAAAATTGAGCAGAAATTGTGCAGGGTTCCCATATATTGCCTGCTCCACCCTCATCCACAACCAACACCTTGCCAGCATTTGGTGCTGCCAGTATTCTGGATTCTGGCCATTCTAACAGGTGTGTGGTGGTATCTCACTGTTTTTTTATTTTGCATTTCCCTGATGATATATGATGTAGAGAATTTTTTCATATGTTTATTTTTCATCTGCCTATATTCTTTGGTGAGATGTCTGTTCAGGCCCATTTTTTAATCAGATTGTTCATTTTCTTTTTAAAACATTTTATTACTATATTTTAAACTGAGATGTAATTGACATATTAGTTTTAGATGTACAACATAATAATTTGATATATTTGATAAACTGCAAAATAATTACCATAAGTTTAGTTAACTTGTTTTCTTAATTGTTGAGTTTTAAAGAATTTTCTGAAATTTTAGATAACAGCCCTTTAGCAGATATGTCTTTTGCAAATATTTTCTCCAACCTGTGGTTTGTCCTTTTACTATTTTGATCATCTTTTCATAAATAAAAGAAGATTAGCAACTTCTAAACCTTTCTTTTCAGTTGAACCAAAATTCCTGCAGTAGTAGTGTGTGGTGGTGAAGAGGGGGGCCCCAGAGTCAGGCAGCTTGGGTTTGAATACTAGTTCTGCCGCTTACTAGCTATGTAAGTTATTTAATGTCTCCCTGTCAAACTTTCCTCATCTTTATTTTTATTTATTTATTTATTTGTACATTCAATATTATTTTACATAAATTTCAGGTGTACACATAGTGATTAGACATTTATATAGTTTAAGAAGTGATCCCCCCCCCTAGGGCCGGCTGAGTGGCTCAGTTGGTTAAGAGCTCGCTCAGGAGTTTGAGCTCTGAGCAACAGCGGTTCAGGTCCAGCCCGAGCTGAGCAGCCGCTGAGCTGCCAACAGGTAGCAGATGGCTCAGCTAAAAAAAAAAAAAGAAGTGATCCCCCTGATTAGTCTAGTACCCACCTCCTGACACTATACAAAGTTATTATCGTATTATTAATTATATTCCCTATGCTTTACTTCACATCCCCATGATTATTTTGTAACAACCAATTTGTACTTCTTAATTCCTTCAGCTTTTTCACCCCTCCTGAAAAACCCCCTGCCATCTAGCACCCCAGTAAATCTGGTACCCATCTGACACCATACATAGTTATTACAATATTATTGGCTATATCCCTTATGCTATAACCTGCATCCCCATGACTCCTTTGTAACAACCAATTTGTACTTCTTAATCCCTTCCCCTTTCTCACTCATTCCCAACCGCCTTCCCATCTGGCAACCTCCTCATCTTTAAAATGGGGATTATAAATGTTTACCTCATAGGGTTGGTGTGAAGATTAAATCAATTAACATAAATATAAGAGATTTAAAGCGGGCC